GTGCTGGCACACGGGCACGTGAACAGAGTAGTCATGGCAGCAGGGACAGAGGCTGCGCATGGGCTCTGCTCGCCAAGGCTCATCTAGCTGCTGCCACTGCCAGGGACATGGGCCAATGTTGAGTTCCAAATATGGCCCATTCACCAAGGAGACCCACCTACCACTTGGTGGCCAGTTGGTTACCTTATACCCCTTCCACCCTGGAAGGCTCAGCAATTCATCTTGGCTGGAATTGACAATGTTCCAGGTATAAGTTTGCCTTTTCCCTCCACAGGGGTCAGACTATATATTCACCACATTGGTCTGCTCTCGGATTGGAACTTACACCGTCAGCTCCCCTGGGTCTCCAGCTTGTAGGTGGCAGATAGTGGAACTTCTCAGCCTCCATAATCACATGAGCCAGTTTCCTATAATAAATCATTGTATATTTATATCTATTGATATCCTATTGGTTCTGTTTATCTGGAGAACCCTGACTAATACAATGTGATAACTTGAAATGTAGAGATCTTAGGCATGAAGATGTCCATTAATATTCTTAAGAACGAACATTCTCATTTCCTGAGCAGTAACTAAGTGCCAGGTACTTTCTTGCGTGTTTAATATGCATCATTGAACTAAATTCTCACCATTGTGTTAAAAAAAAAATATAGCCTAGCCAGTGTGGCTCAATGGTTGAGCATCGGCCTATGAACCAGAAGGTTATGGTTCAATTCCTGGTCAGGGCACATGCCCAGATTATGGGCTCAATCTCTAGTGTGGGGTGTGCAGGAGGCAGTGATCAATGATTCTCTCATCATTGATGTTTCTGGCTCTATCCTTCTCCCTTCCTCTCTGAAATCAATATATATATTGATTTAGTTATCTACAAAGCCTTGGAGATTATACACCAAAAAGCCAGCAGTGTTTGTGTTTGTCGTTGAAGAGAAATGAGTTTTTTCTTCTTTGCCTTACCATATTGAGCTTGTATCACCTTTATGATTGGAAAGAGTTAAAACAAACTGGATTTTTAAAAGTAAGGTGGATCCTCAGTCTCCTGCCTCTGGCCCTTCATCCAATTTGTTTGAGATCATAGTACTATTGGGGGTAGCCCAAGACTGGTGGTGGGTGCCCCTCTCCCTCTCTTGGAAGGCTACTATCCTCAGAATCTTCCGTCGAAGTTAAATCCAAAATTATTGTATAACTAATATATCAATCCTGCTAACAGCAGCAACATCATCTTATATGCAAATCACTTTCATTGCAGAGCACGCACAGCATAGTAATTACCTATCAAATGGCAATTACACTTTTATTATTTTTTAAACTTCCATTAAAAGAAAGCATCTTAAATTGGAAAGAAGTAATCCATGTCACAGGCCAGTTAGTCAGACACTGTTTGTCTGTTTGGAGGTCCCAGAATGATCGTCATCACACTGACCAGAACTTGGCTGGAGATCCTGGCTAGAGATCCTGGCTAGGCTGCTGATCAACTGAAGGCTGTCTCCGTGTCATTCCTTCTTCGCCAACTCCGTCCACACCTTTGGGGATCCCTGGACCTGCTGGGGCTGGACCCCAGCAGAGAAATGAGTTTTTTCTTCTTTGCTTTACCATATTGAGCTTGTATCGCCTTTATGATTGGAAAGAATTAAAACAAACTGGATTTTTAAAAGTAAGATGGATCCTCAGTCTCCTGCCTCTGGCCCTTCATCCAATTTGTTTGAGATCATAGTACTATTGGGGGTAGCCCAAGACTGGTGGTGGGTGCCCCTCTCCCTCTCTTGGAAGGCTACTATCCTCAGAATCTTCCGTCGAAGTTAAATCCAAAATTATTGTATAACTAATATATCAATCGTGCTAACAGCAGCAACATCATCTTATATGCAAATCACTTTCATTGCAGAGCACGCACAGCATAGTAATTACCTATCAAATGGCAATTACACTTTTATTATTTTTTAAACTTCCATTAAAAGAAAGCATCTTAAATTGGAAAGAAGTAATCCATGTCACAGGCCAGTTAGTCAGACACTGTTTGTCTGTTTGGAGGTCCCAGAATGATCGTCATCACATTCACTCCTTATGAAACACTTACCATGTACCAGGCGTCGTGCAACGTGCTTTGCATTTGATGTCTCAATCTGTATACCTCGCCGCTGTGCTGGAGGTTTGACTTGCTATCACAAGATTACAGATGAAGAAACAGACTGAGAAAAATTAAATCACTCGCTGAGCGGGCAAAGCCAGGATTCAAGCCTAGGAGCATTGAACTCTGAAGCCAGGAGATCTGGGTCACCATACTACGCTGCTGGTGGAGACGTGTTCTTCAGCTCTGCTGTGATGTTCTCAAGGTGTGTTGGTGGAAATGAAGAGAAAGACAAGACATAAACTCTGTGCCTCCAGACAAGCACTGCCATTCTTTTAACTTGTGTTTCTGTCATCACATTGAGAGCAGCCAGGGAGGTTGTGGGTGTAGTTAGATACCTCCTCCTGGACTGCCCCCTCTACCCAGTCCAACAAATCAGAAGTATGGCATTAGGTTAACATGGCCTCTCTCTCACCTCTCACATCGGTTCTTTCAGTTCTTTCCCGTTAACCACCTCCTCTGCAGCAGCCTATGCAGGTTGGCTTCATTGGGAAGTCTATGAATTTTCTTTAGTTTCAGGCATGGCCGTATCCGGGAGCCTGAAAATTGTCTCCAGCTTGGGATTCAGTTACACTGTAACTGTAACTGGTTCTCAACCTTCCTAATGCCGCGACCCTTTAATACAGTTCCTCATGTTGTGGTGACCCCCAATTTCATTGTTACAAACTGAACATAATTAAAGCATAGTGATTAATCACAAAAACAATATGTAATTATATATGTGTTTTCCGATGGTCTTAGGCAATCCCTGTGAAAGGGTCATTCGACCCCCAAAGGGGTCGTGACCCACAG